ACACACACACACACACAAACATACAGCCCCCAACACACACACACACACAGCCTCCAACACACACACACATTCTCACACGCTGACATAACGCCCAACACACACACATGCACACTGACACACAGACAGACAGACACACACACACAGACGCACATACACAGACACACACACACAACCTTCTACACACCCCACACACACACACACACACATACACACACACAGCCCCCAACACACACACACACATACATACAGACAGAGCCCCCAACACACACACACATGCACAGGCACACTGACACACATACACATACACACACGTAAACACACATTCGGGTTTCAATAAACGGGAAGATGATTCAACATTCTAAATTGAAGGGAAGATAAACAGAAAGTGCTGGAGAACTCAGCAGGTCTGGCAGCATATGTATAGAGAGCGCAAGACAGAGTTAACGTTGAGTTCAGTGACCCTTCTTCAGAACTACAGAGGCTGCCAGACCTGCAGTTTGAGGGGTAGAAGCTGGAAGCAGATGTGATGGCATTATGATTGAGTAACGGTAACTGCAAAGACATGAGGGAGGAACTGGCAAGAGTTGAATGGAAGGGGAGCCTGGCAGGGAAAACAGTGGAGCGGCAATGGCAGGAGTTTCTGGGGGTAACTTGGAAGACACACCAGAAATTCATCCCAAGGAAGAAGAAATATACTACCGGGAGGATGAGGCTGACAAGCTAAGTCAGGGACCAAATGAAAGCAAAACTGAAAAGGATTGGAGATAGCAAGAACTACAGATGCTGAAATAAGAGTCAATACAGTGTGGAAGTGGAGGAATACAGCAGGTCAGGCAGCAGGGAAGCAGCTCCTATGATGCTGTCTGACCTGCTGTGTTCCTCCAGCTCCACACAGTGTTGAAAAAGGAAAAGCATACAATGTGGTGAAAATTAGTGGAAACCAGAGGATTGGAAAGCCTTTAAAAACCAGCAGAAGACAACTAAAATAGCAATAAGTGGGGAGAAGATGAAATATGGGGGTAAGCTAATGCGTAATATAAAAGAAAATTGCAAGAGTTTTATTTAGATATCTAAAAGGTAAGCAAGAGTGGACATTAGATCACAGAAAAAGAGACTGGGGAAGTAGTGATGGGGAACAAAGACATGGCGAAGGAACTGAATAGGTACTTTGCATCAAACTTCATTGTGGAAGACACCAATAACTTACCAAAACTTTAAGAGAGTCAAGAGGCAGAAGTGAGTGTAGTTGCCATCAGTAAAGCGGAGTTGGGGAAGCCGAAAGGTCTGAAGGTGGATAAACCATCTGGACCAGATGGACTACACTCTAGAATTCTGAAGGAGATAGCTGAGGAGAGTGTACAGGCATTAACAGTGATCTTTCAGGAATCACTGGAGTCAGGGAGGG